TCCCAGAGGCGTGGGACTTTGAGGGTTCTGTGCAGTATCTTAGCTGTTCCTAGCACTGCACTCTTCTGGACAGAGAATTCTGATGTTGTTCCTGGGATCTGTTGGAGCCACTCTCCCAGTTTAGGAGTCCAAGCCCTGAGTGCTCCTACCACCACTGGGACCACTTTAGCCTTTACTTTCCACATCCTCTCTAGTTCTTCCTTCAGGCTCTGGTACCTCTCCAGCTTCTCATATTCCTTCTTTCTGAAGTTGCTGTCACTTGGCACTGCTACATCTATCACTTCTGGTCCTTGTCTACTACCATGATGACTGGTTGACTGGCCAGTACCTGCCTGTCCATCTGGATCTGGAAGTCCCACAGGACTTAGCCCTGTTTTTCTCCATGACCTTCTGTGGAATCTCCCATCTGGACTTGGGAGGGACTAGCCCATACACTGTGCAGATATTCCTGTACACAATGCCAGCTACTTGGTTGTGCTGTTCAGTGTTTGCTGTTCCTGCCTGCATCTTACATCTGCCACTATGCGTTGGACTGTCTCTTTGCACAATCTGCACCTTGGGTCCTGTCTAGTGTGGTAGACCCCTGCTTCTATGGATCTGGTGCTTAGTATCTGTTCTTGTGCTGCTATGGTCAGTGCTGCCTTTTAGTCCAGCCCTTTCCAGCCACTGATAGGATTTCCCAATATCAACTACCTCAGCTGTCAATGGTACATCCCATGCAGGGGCTTGTCTTGCCATGGCATTTCCTCCACTTGAACTTTTTCTCATGTCTGCTGCTACCTCAGGCATTCTCTCAGCAGCTCATCTTTGGGTATCATCTTACTGATGTACCCCTGGATGCTCTCGGTTTCATCCAGGTCAGTGGCTTTGACACTCACCAGACCCCGCCCACCCTCTTTCCAGCTGGTATACGGTCTCTAGGTGTTGGACTTGGGATGGAAACCTCCGTATATTGTGAGGAGCTTCTGGGTCTTCACACTGGCAGCATCCATGTCCTCCTCTGGCCAGCTCACTATAATGGCAGGGTATCTGATGACTGGAGGGCCTACATGTTGATGGCATGGATCTTCTTCTTCCCTTTGAGCTGGCTCTTCAGGACCTGTCTTATCCTTTGGTGATACTTGGATGTTGCTGTCTTCCTTGCCTCATCGTGGTTCCCACGTGACTGTGGGATACCAAGGTACTTGTAGCTGGTCTCTCTGTCTGCTATGTGTCCCACTGGTAGTTCTACCCCATCAGCCTTAACTACCTGCCCTCTCCTTACTATCATCCGGCCACAATTCTCCAGTATGAATGACATCCCAATGTCCTCACTGTAGATCCATGTCAAGTGGATCAGTGAGTCGATATCTCTTTCACTCTTAGCATACAGCTTGATGTCATCCATGTAGAGGAGGTGGCTGATGGTAGTTCCACTCTTGAACTTGTACTCGTATTCAGTCCTTGTGAATGAATGAATGAATGAATGAATATATGTATATGTATGTAAATATATATAATGGAAGAAATGTGGAATAGATTTGAATGACATAATTTGTTGGACATTTTTATGTTTTAATATTAACTGCACTCTTATATGTATTTATAGCCACCTTTTCGGCAAGAAATTGCCTCAAAAGAAAGCCCACCATAATATTTTAGTCCTTTTACAGTATTCAATTGGCCCTCAGTGTTAAAAATATGAACTATTACCAATAAAATTATGTAATGATATGCCCATAGTTAGCCTACTGATTCACAGAAACAGTGTTGAAAGGAATTTGTGACAAGAAACTACTTCTTAAAGGCAACTGTGCAATGATAAAGAAAAAAAAAAAGCAGGACAAATGGTGGCTCCAATTATACTCAACTCTTCACTGCCTTTAATAAGAGCCAAGGATTGGGGATAGGGTAGGATTGCTCTTTACTTCACAATTCCAAATAGGAAGTAGGAACATAACAACATAGTTCTGCTGGATCAGATCAAGCCCTACTGTAGTCCAGCTTTTCAGTTCCCACCCTGGCCAACCAGATGTGGGAATATATCCTCCCACTACTGTTTCTTTGCAACCGGCATTTGGAGGAATACTCCCTTCAATCCAGAGGGAACACTAAGTATTTAAAACTATCAGCTCTGATGGACCTGTCCTTCAGTAATTTATTTAATTCTCTTTTAAAGCCATACAAAAATAGCATTTATCATCACAACTTTGCTAATGAATTCTATAAGCTAATTATATGCTATGTAAAGAAGTACTTCCTTTTGTCTGCTCTAAATTTCCTTCTGTTCAGCTTTACTGACTGATCTCTGGTCCCAGTGTTCTGAGAAAAGGAGAAAATCTGTCCACTCTCTCCATGCACTACTTGCCTTTATACACTTCAATCATGCCCCCCCCCCGGTACCTATTCTCCATGGTAAAGAGTCCCAAACGTTCTAACCTTTTCCCACAGAGAAAGCGTTTGACCTGCTGATAATTCTGATTGTCCTCCTGCGCACTTTTCCCAGTTCTATAGACTTTTTCAAATGTGGTGACCAGTCTGCATTTGAGATGTAAATGTACCACAGAGACACAGATACAAGGTTGACAATTTTATTTTCAAACCCTTACCTAGTGATCTCCTAGAAAATTTGTCTTGTTCACAGCTTTCACACACTGAATTGGCATTTTAATTCCGCTATATGTTAGTTACAAACAACTCAATATTATGATTATGATTATTCCTGCCTCTCTCTCTCTCTCTGGTCAACTCAAGGGGACAAACATACCTAATAATCCTTCCATCTATTTTTCCCCACAACCACAACCCTGTGAGGTGGGTTGGGCTGAGTGACTGGCCCAAAGTCACCCAGCCAGCTTTCATGCTTAAGGGAGGCCTAGAACTCACAGTCTCCTGGTTTCTATACTAGCACCTTAATCACTACACCAAACTGGCTCTCTGGTATTGGTAAAGCTTTTTGGCCCCTTTATGCATCACTCTCTAAACACTTAAAATTAACTGTATTTGCCATCTGATTGACCATTTACCTGGTTTCTGGAGTTCTTCACAATAACCTCTGGTTTGTACCATCTTGAATAGTTTAGTATCATCCACAACTCGCCTAACTCACTACCAAGCTTAGATCATTTATGAACAAAATAAAAAGCACCAGTCCCCACACAGAGCCCTGAGGGACTCTATCTCTTCCTTCCCTCTACCATGAAAATGTCTTTGCTTTCTGGTTAGGGTTTTTTTTCTTTTTGGAAGAGGGGTTGTTTTGTTTTTGCTTTATAGTCTTTCTTTCTGTTTTTTTAAGCAAAGTAAACAGGTCCTCTTATGCCATGATGGCTAAATTGATTCAAGAGCCTTTAATTATGATTTTTATATATTTGTACGTTCAAAATGCTTTTGATAATGTCAGTAGGATCACCTCTCTCCCCAAAGCTGTTCAAACTCTCAAGGAACTCTAAAAGCTTCACTTGACTTCTAGAAGGTTCAACTGATTGGGGTCACTATAACTCAGCTCTAGAAGGAAGCTGGCATACACATGCAATAAAATAGTTTGTATATATGTAGACAGCCAACAGAATGTGGGTCCTAAGTGGCTATACTATAACTTTAAAAATGGATGGATAGATAGATAGGTTTTAAGATGCTCATGCTTATTATATTTTCTCCTAATTTAGTCCTCTAATGAAATAAAAAAGTATTTTTCCCAAATAACACTAACAAATTTGTAATATATAAAAATAAATTCAAAGTACTTACATGACCTGAAAACAGTTTTGGATTGGTAATAAAAGGTTCTCTAAAAACTTTTATTATGAGATTCAGCTCCCTTATATATTGTCGAACCTCTGCCATGAATGACTTTACAAGATCATAGTAGGTTTGTTCCCCTGATGTGGAGGGTTCTTCATCAGATAACGTCAGTGTACTAATATCCTCTACATCTTGATGGAACATATCCATCAATACCTGTTTGAAAAAGAGGAAGATCTTAACACCATATGACAAAGACGACAATATATTGAAATGTGCAATCATATTAAGGTATAAGTTTGTTAAACCACCAAATATTTGGTCCAATATTAAACTGTTAGTGTGAAAACTAACAATCTATAAGGTAAGTAGTTATCTGAGGATTATACGAGCAGAAGGAAAAGGAAACTTTTAAAACTAGCAGTGACACCTCACTTTAAGTAAACATAATTCAAGTCAGTATTTCATCACAATCTCATTTGTCACTTAAGAAATCTGTTAAGGTCTTACAGGTAGTCCTTGACTTACGACCATTCGTTCAGTGACCATTCAAAGTTACAATGGCGCTGAATGAAGGGACTTACAACCAGCTCCTGAAGTTACAGCCGTTGTAGTGCCCCCGCGGTCAAGTGATCAAAATTCGTGTGCTTGGCAGCCTGTCACACTTACCACCACAGGGGTGCTTCAACTCCTCCCATCCACCTATCTCCCCCGCATCTATGTCCTTTTGGCACCCTGCATTCCGCAGCCCCCGCTGCTCAAGCTGATCTTCGCCATCTTCTTGCTCCTGCTGCTGACCAAGCATGCATGCCTGGTCCTTCATGAGGCAGCTGCTGGCCACACAAGGCCTTCTTCCCAAGGTCATGCATGGCTGTTTCCTCGCAAGACCTGGGGAAGAAGGCCTTGTGTGGCCAGCAGCTGCCTCGCGAAGGGCCAGGTTGGGCACCCCTCATCAGCAGTGGGAGCAAGAAGACGGCAAACATCACCAGGGGCCATGGAGTGCAAGGTGGTGAGGGCGACTGTGGCTGGGATGCCTGGGGTTTCCTGGGCAAAGCCCAGCCCCAGCCTGGCCCAGCAGTGTGGTGCAAAGGGGCTTCCTGGTGGCCTGCAGCTCTGCGGCTTTTTGCAGCCTCAGAGCCATGGCACGCTAGGAAGTCCTTTGCATTGCCTGAAGCCCAGCCCAGCCCCAGCCTGCCCAGCGGCATGGTGCAAAGGGGCTTCCTGGTGTGCTGTGACTCTGGGGCTGCAAAAAGCTTGCAGCTCCAAAGTTGTGGTGTGCCAAGAAGCCCCTAAGCCACAGTGTATTCTTTCCCTGGCCTTCTTGAGTTCATGCTGTATTGCAGCATCCTCCTCCCTCAACTCACGCGCAGCCTGTGCTGGCCCTCCCAGGCTTCCCCCACCCCCCTGCAGTACCCTTGTGCTCCTTACCTGATTCCCGCCTCTTTCCACTTAATGACCCGTGTGTCTTGGGCTTACGACAGCAACTGTGACTGCCTGAAATGCCATCGCTAAGCAACGTAGTCATGCAACGTTGTGCTTTACAACTGCATTGCTTAGCGATGGAAATTCTGGTCCCAACTGTGGTTGTAAGTTGAGGACTACCTGTAGTTATACAGAACAGTGCAACAGTCAGAATCTCAAGATTCTTTTAAAACATTTCATTCAGAAATACTGATTGGCACATCAGTACCATAAACCACTAACTGAAGCAATGGAAGGAGCAGAGGAGATTTTCATTTCCTCTTTAAGCTGTAGCCTCTTGAAAAATTGCTGCAAAGGACTGAGATATTCTCAGGATTAGCATGAGAGATCATGCTAAGAGAAACTAGTGAGAAAAATCAATTTCCTACTTCCATTCTCAAAAGCCCATTCTGTTCATGGCTAAGTTCAGCTAGTTCCAAGCTGACATAGCTACAGATATGATTGTATATACCTTATCAGCACACATTGCCACTTTGATGTCCTGTTTAGTAATTTCATCATGTCTTATATTTCGTACATAGTTTCCAACCAATTTTAAGATATCTGCAGAAATGTATTCTAATACAGCTACGATGTAAACAGATACTTGATGGTCAACTTTATATCCCAGGACTTCCTGAAAGAGATAACTTATTTTAACATTTCATTATACACAGACACAATAAATGTATACATTTAAATATGGAAAATTATTCAGCCAAGGCAAAGAAAAACATGGACAGCTCCATAAATTTATTTAGTTTCCAGTGGGTGCCAGAGGAATCATAGCGAGAGTGCACCATGGGGGTCAAAGGAGCAAAGGCGTACTCTTTATTTCTGAAAGTCTGTTTTTAAAGTTTTCATAAAATGGGATTCATTTTTTACTTCTTTTCTCATGACACTAAGTGCAACATGATACTTTCTGATGATTAATTCATTCTCCAATCTTCACCTTGAATGTAAGCTCTAAGTCAGGTCTAATTTTTGGATTTTGTTTCATCTTCTGGTTTTTACACCACTTCATTTATGAAGAATATGAAGTATTCTAAAGCTTGCACTCCTTGTAATTTGGCTGATGCTAACAGAAGTATTTATTTATTTGAAGCATTTATATGGCTCCCCAACTCAGGCAATGCAACTCAGGGTGGCATATAAGAACTAATCAAATGCAGCACAGACTATTAAAGACCAAATAAGACAATAACATGGTGATCAGAACTATGTTAAAATATACTATGTACAGGGTCTGTTTTTTATACTTGCTTTTTAATGGATTAATTTAATTACTTATGGGGTATTTTTAATTGTTGATGGGGTTTTTGATTTTAACTGTGAGCCACCCAGAGTCACCCTTTTGCAGAAGATGGGGGGCGTACAAATTTAATAATAAATAAATAAAATAAAAATACTCTACTCTACTCACCAACTGGGAGTTTTACTCATCCTGACCCCAGCACCCAGAGACAGCTCAGGTCTTAAATGACTTCCTGCAAGATCAGGCCCAACCATATCTCAAGGGTAGGATAGGGTGGGGAGTCATTCCAAAGACCAGGGGCCATCACTGAGAAGGTACACCTGGGTCTCACAAGCTGATGCCCAGAGCACGCTCTCTCTTTTGGAGCATGTGGGATGGGCAAATACCCTTGGGAACAGGCAGTCCCAAATATAACCCAGAATTTGGATGTTCAGTATTGGATGCTCTACTATTTAATCAAGTATTTGGTATTAGTGTTTTATAGAACTAAGTACAGTGACTTAGATGGCATGGTAGTGACAACAGCATATGAGTTTTTAGTATCACATTGTATTTTTAGTTAAATGCTAAGACAGTTTAATTTTTTTGATATAACTCATGGATGTATACTGAACATGTAACAGCTAATTATTCATGTTTTCAGAATCCAAGGTGCCTAAATGCTAACATTTATACTGGCACCTAAGAATGTATATTATTTTCCATCTGTACTGCTTATGAAAATAGGTTTAATTTAATTTATTTAATATGGCCACCCACTCCAGAAGATTCTGAGTGGCTTACAAAATCAATAAAAAAGAGTACTGTGGAACAGTTAAAACAATTAAAACCCACATAAACAGGCAGCCCAGACTAAAGCAACCAGAACAAGAAAGAGAGCAGACTGTACAAACTAAGAATATGATGGGGGCCTGACCAATAGATCACACCCACATTAGCCCCATGCCTTGGAACAGAGCCATGTCCATAATTTCACTTACTTCTTTCAGAGAAGTATCACAGAACTGTCAACCAGTAGAACAGGTTGCAACATGAAGTATTATTTCCCCTTTGCTGGAATTATTCAAGCAGAGGATGGATAGCCATCTATCCAAAATGTTTTAATAGATCCTGCACTGAACAGGTGGTTGGACTACATGACCTCTGAGATCACTTCCAACTCTATGATGTTATGAACCCTAGCTTTTCTCCAGAGTTATGGCAAGGTAACGATTTTTTCAGTTGAAGTGTTCCAGGTTTCCAAGTATCATGTGTCATAGACACATGTTACAAGGAAGAAACCCTTTTCACAGCCTGAGCAAGGGCAGGGATAATGCCTGATCTTTGCTTTGTTGGACCTCCAAGTTCTCCATTACATAATCCTCATCTGAATAATGGGAGAAGCAGCATATTGACAGTCAAAGTTTATGACTGGCTACTAATGACAGTTAAAATAAGCAGAGACCTAATTGCAATCTTTATTAATTAGAATTGCTTAGAGAAGATCTAGATGGACTTAGAAAGAAATTCTATTTATAATTTTAAAGAAATTGGTTTCTCTTTCAAAATATCACTGGTTATTTGAAAAAAAGGCTAATCTATTATTTTGTAATATCTTATACACTGTGTTTATATTACTTACTTTTAAGAGTGGATGAATTTTTTCTACTGGAAGAAATAGTGGGTTTCTCCGCTTCCTCTTTTCAATGGCAGACTGTGCATCAGCTATTGCCCATTTATCAATCGGATGGGGAAAACTTTTTTGGACACGATCCTTGTAACACACAGAGGAAGTACAGCTAAATATATAAACAGTAGAACTCTTTAAATTACCATGTCCTAAGTAACTAAAGCTACTTTTGGGGGCTGGGGGAGAAAAAACATTTTAATGTTTATATCTCCCTTCACCTACAAAACACAATGAACAGTAAAATGTATAGCAAATTATTCAATCCAAAAATATAATAGGATAGAGCCTAGCCAGCTAAAAGTATATCACATGATAGCCAATTAAAAAGATAGGTAAATAAGAACAGTTTCATTTGTCAACTTAAAAAAATACAGCTATGATGGCATTAGACAAATATCCCTTCAAGGGAGTGTTTCAGACCTGCAATATCACCAAAGAATGCCTTCATTATACATTTCCCTTACCAAAGATACTAAGAGAAGGGCCTCATCCAATTATTTTAATGCACAGATGGGCTAACATGGGGGAAATAATCTTAAGGTCTTTAGGACTTAAGGTATTTGGAATATTAAGATATGAACAATTATTTAGAATTATGCTCAGAAGTGAATAGCAGCCAATACAATTTTCTTCAGAATATGATTACACATATTCAAATCAGTTTACATCCTAACTGCAAAATTCTGCAGTAGTGAAAATTGCTGGTCTGTTTTTTTAGTATATCCTGCAGTCATAGATACCAACGCACTCTAATGAAGTCAAACCCAATTTATTTATATGCTGCTGCTTCATAACATACTTGTGCCAAAGAAACTTACAATGTAACAGTGGAAAAGAACAATGCAGCGTGGTCAAATTAAATCAAAATTTCAAAACAATTCAATACATAAATATTTTTAATTCAAGTATCCATAACTTAAAGATGAATTATAGGTATTTCTTAATATATCACCAAGAAGAATATCAATAATGTATAATGAGTTGCACAATGAATTACAAGTGGTACCTCTACATCCAAGAAACTTCTTGGCTGAGCTTGGCACAGCATGTTTAGCAACTGCAGAATTAACTCCTCAACATACTGCAAAGCATCTTCTGTAGATGATAGTTTAGGGTGGACTTGCATCTGGACCTATATTCAACATCAAATAATTGAACTCAAGAAAAATAAGTATAAAAATTTAAACAAGACAGTGCTGACAGCCTGGTGGCCCACAGAAGGTATATTAAGAACTTTAGATTCAGACTGTAGAGATCAAGAGGTTGTTTGAACTGTAGAAAGGAAAAAGCGGCACAAAGAATGAAAGTAACATTACAGTCAAGAGTAAGAACTGTGCATCAAAAGTTACTGATTCAGATTTAACCAGCTATGATCTCATTGGATGAGATAGAATGGAAAGGAAAGAAAGTGTTTAGAGGGAGTGTTTGGAGTTAGAACCAAACTTTGACTTGGCCACCTTAAACCAGCAGCCAAAGTGATTAACATATTTCTTTTACAGAATACCATTTCCAATTATAATTCAAATGCCTGAGATTTGCATATTAAAAACTGTCAGAAAAAAACATTCTGGGTACTCAAGTTTATTTCTTGAAATAATGAAGTATCAGGGAAAAGGAAATTTTGGATTAATACAGATATCCATATCTTTCATTATTTTTAAAACATGAAATAAGCTATATCTAAAAATCAACATAGGTTATATATTATGAAATGTAAGGTTAAGCATTTAAGTACTCTATATTTTAGTTTTTGCTGGGTAAGAAAATTTCAGAGGGTGGGATAGGGAATAAAACACATGATCTGAAGAGATAGTTCAGCAACCTTGTTAAAGTGGAAGTGGTGGGAACCCTTAAACATCACCCTAAGTTATGCAGAAATATTGAAAATGCAAATGGGTTCACAAACTTTTAAGCACCATTGTACACAATGTCATAAAGGATATTAGTAATATGCTAATATAGTTTAGTTTTATTTATCTGGAAAAAACATTGAGTACATGTGAAAAAAAACAAAGGAATTCTTACTTTTAGAGACAAGGCTAAGAATATAAAATTACACTAGTATTTTGAAACAGCAGTAAATCTCAATATTCATTTATACTTTCTAATGCTTATAAACACAGTTACTGCATTAATTCATTTTCCTATAGGTTTCACTTTGACTAAAAATTAGCTATTTTTTTAGATGCATAATCTGCTTACCTACAAAAAATATCAAGATATCTAAAATACCACAATGCATATTTGTTTAATCATAAAATGACACTGCTTTCAATTCTCAAGTTTCATAAATATTTAGAGATGTAAAAATCATATGCTCTTAATTGCAATGCAGACTACAAAAAGGCTCAACTTCTCATGTTTTTTTTTTTTTTTTGTCTGCGCTCAGTCATTGCTGACCCTGCAGTGACTGCTTGGACGAGTCCTTGCAGTTTTCAAGGCAACTGTTTTCGGAAGTGGTTTGCCAGAGCCTCCTTCCTTCCTCATGTTAGCACAACCCTTTGTTTTATGTGTACACATCTGATGAAAAAAACTGGTATCTGAGGCAAACAAGAAATAGTCAGAATCAGATACTAGTCTAATTCAGACAACAATATCTGGTTCAGAACCTCCTCCTCTTTATTTCATGGACAAAGGAGATTCAAAAGCTATTGTTTGATGACAGAACATACTAAGCCAGAAGTGGCTTATTTGGTTTTGATACTTATTAAATGTGCCATCATTAAACAAACAATAGCTTAGTATCACATATGAATAAAGGATCCATTAAGCACTCTGCCTTCAACACTGGCCAATCAGATATTTAAAGAACCTCACAAGCAGAAAATAAAGGTGAGGATTACCTGCTAACTTGTCTCAAACAGCTCCTTCTCACAGGATTATTACCTCTGTACATGAGGTCCTATTTAATTTACAAATCAATCTCCCATATGTGTATCTAATGGCTAGATCTCCTGTACACATATATACATAAAATTTATGAAGTCAGATCTTGTAAGTTATCAGTGTTTTTGTATGAGATCTCCAGAGATCCCTAGACCTCACAAATTTCAATCATTTAATATGTCCTGGCAAAATATGCAATAGCAGTCATCACCCTGAAAAGATTATTCACTCTTCTCCAATTCTTTTAAAAGCTACCTAAAAGTGCAGCTCTAAATTTGTCTAAATTATGGTAGACATAAGTAGGAAATTGCAGAGATGCTCCTCTGAGAGAGTAGAAGATGGAGGCTCCACTAATACAGCATGTTTCATTTGCCAAGAATTTGGAAAACTGGAAGTTCCTATCAGTGATAGGTGCATAAGTGCATGAAGGATACTTGGTAATTAGACAGCTTAGCTGAATTCAAACTGTTCGACTCACCAGTTAAGCCAATTTGGATACAGTACAGCTAATCTACATCCCTTGCTTCCAATGGGAGGATGCTTAAAACACAACCATGCACGTGGCTGAGAAGTCCAGTGAAATTGCTCCTCACTTACTGCCTAGGTCAGCAAATACCAGCAAAGCTGGGAATGAAGGAGAACTATTCCTCTATTCCTTTCTCTGCTAATGGCCATCACTACATCTTCCTTGCACTACTACTCATGTTTTGTATACATCATTTTTCTCTATACAGTTCAACAAATATCTATCATCTAGCAAACTGGAGCACAGCACAGAGATCAACACAAAGATCATTACAGTACTGTATGAGGTTCCTTACAGTTAAAACAGACATACACCACAGCTTGGGGTTTCACTTCCTCCTCCCTTGCCAAAGTTAATCTCTATTTGGGTTCTTTGTCCAAATTAGAAACTGAGGCTTAATTTCTGCAATCTAGAGGCATCAATTACACATTTGTTAGTGAGTAGGACTTACACTAAGACTTCTAAATAAACATAACTAATTACACTGAGTAATGTGGCTGGCAAATAAAAGGAGACAACTGAATAGATAAATTTGTCATGGCAGTAATATTACATAGCTAAAAGCTAACATGACAGAACAGCCAGTAAGAGCTTAAATATACATACAAGTATTTGTATTTATATATTTAAAACATTTCTGAATTACAACTAAACTATTCCAGAATTAGATTATATTTCAATAGCATCAAAATTCAGTACCACACTACCATAGGTATGAATTTAACTTAGAACTTACAGATAGCCACTATAATGTAACATTTAAGATGTTGGATAGGGACTATGTAGACCCACATTCAAGTCTACCCTCAGCCACAGAGGTTTTATTGGGTGACTTTGGGTGAATTGTTCTCTCAGCCCATTCTATGTCATAGAACTACTGTGGGAAAAAATTTGGAGAAGGGACCACAGTGTACACCGTATTGTGCTCCTGAAGGAAAGGCAGTCTATAAAGCTAACAAATAAATAAAATACAAATACAAGTAGTCCTCATTTAGTGACTGCCTTGTTTAGCCACTGTTCAGTTATGATGGTGATGAAAAAGAAACTTTGCAACCAATCCTTGCGTTTACAACCTTTGCAGGTCTGTAAAGCAAAGTAAAGTTGAAGTAAGATCATAAACATGGTCGTTTCACTTAGTGATTGCTTCGCTTAACAACTGAGTTGCCCAATTGTGATAGCTAAATAAGGACTACCTGTAAACAAACAGTATGAATGTTATTTCTCATTAAGACAACTTCACTGAAGATCAAATTAGAAATAAACAAGAAGCAAAGAGAAATCTAATGAAACAGGTGATATTTATACATGACAGAGCCATTGGGAGTAGAGCAGCATATACAATCAGGTCCAGAAATATTGGGACATCGACACAATTCTAACATCTTTGGCTCTAT